CCAGGTCTTGCTTGACTAAGGGTCATCCACATCCCTGCAGAGTGACCAAGGCTATGTCTGCAGATGAGGCCAGAGTTTCCCATAGAACGCCGCCCTAGGTTAGTTCCAACACCTGAACAAATGATCAAGACTTCAAAATTCCATCTGAGAAGCATGAGAATAATGAAATATTTCTAAGGAATAGTTACCACTTTCTCCTCATTCCAAAAAAAAAAAAAAATTCATTAGTACATAGATGAAATGTTAAATTTTAAGCTAATGCACTCTAAAGAATAAATTAGTTGTTAATTGGGCCCTTAAGTAATTCAATGAATTAACCTGCAATATAGACAAAATTGGCCAATTACATTTTGGCAGACTTATGTCAGAAATGATGATTTTGAGCTTGACAGTGATTGATGTTGGGTCATTTTTTTTTTCCTGATGAAGGATGACTGTACCTTTTGTTGTTGAGGGCATTCCAAGATTCTTGTTATTGTGGAAGCACATACTTATTTTTCTGTTCTCTTTAGCAGCAAGTAGACATTTAGGTTAAAAAGGGGAACCAGAATGGATGCCTCAGTTTTCTCATTTGTATGATGGGATGTTAATAGCAGCTCCTTCGTGGAGTTACCATGCATTTAAAATATGTGAAAGCAGGTAGATCAGTGTCTAGTATGTTCTAAGCATTCAGTGTGTCTCACCTAGTACTACTGCTGTTATCATTTCTCAGAATTTTTGTTTGGTTTAACAGAAGTCCCTGCTGAAGCGAACTCCACAAAGATAATGGCAGATATCCTAAAGAATCAGTTACTAAAGGGTCTTCTGAACAAATGTAACATACTTCAGACGAGGACCTGTGCAATTAGAAGCCAAGAAAGCTTGATGAAGTTGCCTGCAGTCTTTGATATTGTTGTTTTGCCTTTTCATTTTTTTGATATGGGGTTCTTGGAATGTTGCCCAGACTGGTCCCAAATGCCTGGGCTTAAGTGATCCTTCTGCATGCATCAGCCCTTTTTTTTTTTTTTGGCGGGGGCTGGGGGGGAGGCGGTAATCAGGGATTGAACATTGAACTCAGGAACACTCGACCACTGAGCCTCATCCCCAGTCCTATTTTTGTATTTTATTTAGAGACAGGGTCTCACTAAGTTGCTTAGTGCCTCACTTTTCCTGAGGCTGGCTTTGAACTCACGATCCTTCTGCCTTAGGCTCCCAAGCCACTGGGATTACAGGTGTGCACCACCTTGCTTGGCCTGCATCAGCTTCATGAGTGGCTGGGACCACAGGTTTATGCCAGCACCCCTGGCTTAATACTGTTTTTGGTAGCCCTTTGTACAGGCAGAGAGTGTAACTGGTCAATTGTAGGCTATCTCTAATGCCTGCTAGCTTCTCAGTTGGAAAAATGGATTAAGAAATTCAGATTTAAAATTTAAACAGGAGTTGAAGGTTTCCCTTTTAAAAATGGCATATATTTTACTTGATTCATCCATTTTATATTGTACCAGTTTTACTGGAATAAGCAGACTGCCAGGATTTGGAACACACCAATCAGATTGAACTTTAGACAGTTGGAGAGTCGGGAAGCTTTCACTAGGGACTTGACATAATTTAAGAGCCATGACATAAAGGCTAGGAGCCTCGGCTTGCAATCAAGAGTCACAGCTCTCCCAGAACCAGTTGTGAGAATTTAAGCAAGAGGCCTAGTCTTTAAGCCTCAGTTTTCCTGCTTTTAAAAATCAGAGTAATAGCATCTACTGGTGGAGTTATTGGGAGGAGTTTTAAATAAGAGAATGCAAATAAATCATTGGCACCGTACACTTAATACATTGTTGGCAGCTACTATTAGTGTGCTTTAAAATCAATTCTACACATAGGGACGGATCATTTTCCAGAATCTGATCCAAGTAGAGCCTAGAAAAATTGAGTAGTCTACAGTTCATAAAATTGAAAAAAATTAAGCCTCTTTGAAGTCCAGAGTGGGTCTAGTGTTAGGGTCTCAGTTCTAAATTTCATCTCATTACTGATTTTTAAATTTTTTTTTTTAGTTGCAGATGGACACACTATCTTTATCTTATTTATTTATTTTCATGTGGTGTTGAGGCTTGAACGCAGTGCCTCACACTTGCTAGGCAAGCACTCTACCACTGAGCCACAACTGCAGCCACTCATTATTGGTTTTATAGCCAGGGAGTAAAAGCCATTTCAAATAAGGTCTTCACTTGATAAGCTTACACACTTTCATGCGCCACATGATTAACCTAAGACTTTCTTTGCCATCTTCTCAAGAACTGGAATGCCTGGGGCCCACCTTGCCAAACATGGGCCTAATGGATAAAGTCACCTTTAAAAAAAATGCCCTTTAATGATTTTTTTTCCTTTTTTTGTGGGACTGGAATTGAACCCAGGACCTTGCACATGCTAGGCAAGGGGGCTAACCCTGAGCTACATCCTAGCCCTTCCCTTAATCATCTTAAAATACATACAAAATAACTTAAAATATGAAAAGTTTAAGAAGAATTATTAAAAGCACAAAAGATAAATGCAAAAACAGAAAAGATTGAAATAAACTCTGATTTTGAAAAGAAAAAATCAAAATGAGTTGAGCTTTTTTTTTTAAAAAAAATTTTTAAGTTGAACATGGACACAATACCTTTGTTTTACTTATTTATTTTATGCAGTGCTGAGGATTGAACCCAGTGCCTCATGTGTGCAAGGCAAGCACTCTACCACTGGACCACAACCCCAGCCCCATGAGTTGAACTTTTTAAAAAATATATTTTTTGGTTGTAGATGAACACAGTACCTTTATTTTTATGTGGTGCTGAGGATTGAACCCAGTGCCTCACACATGCTAGGTGAGTACTCTATCACTGAGCAACAACCCCAGCCCTGAGTTGATCTTTTAATGAAAAATAAAGACATGTTTTTTAAAAGTCAAGAAAAAATGCAAATAAAGAATTAAAAAAGAAAAACATAATGCAAAGTTGAATAGAATACTGAAATAGAGCAGAAGCTAAGTAATCATACAAATTTTAAAAACAAGGTAAATATATATCCTCTCTAAAGATAAAGCAAGGAGGTGAGCTGCATAATCTTGAAGCAGATTCTCTGAGCTGAAACAATGAGATGAGCTGCCCATTAGTGATTACCACCTTCTGAACAGTGCTGAGCCCTGGTCATGGTCCTTGTCCTTCTAGCAGCTCCAGCTGTTATCTCCACATTACCAGGGAACTGCAGCCTGGATGCTTGCCTTTCTCCACAAAAGAAAGATGCCAAAACAGTGCTCTTATTCTTGGTGTTTTTCTGCCTTCCGAGAAACATCATTATGTCATCAGTAATGAAGACAATAACAGAGCCCTTACTCCTTCCCCCTCACCTTGTCAAGATAACCTGTCAAGTTAGGAGAGACTGTCATTCTTAGCGAATGTGCAATGGATCCTTGCATGTCTTAATAGCCCACTGTGTTATAGTTTTTATATCTTTGCCTCTTTTTTTAAAACTTGGTGCAGATTTAGTCCCATTTATCCATATATTTCCTCAGATCCATCTTCTAAGCATTTCCTTGATGTGGCCACTTTTCTCCAACTTCATTGCCACCACTGAGTTTAGACTACCATCTAGTCACTGTATCAGTTTCCTGTGGCTTCTGTAAAAAATGACCACATATTTGGGTGGCTAAAAACAACAGAATCATATGGCCAGAAGTTCAAAATCAGTTTCACTGAGTTGAAATCAAGGCATTGGAGGACCATATTCCCTGCAGAGGCTCTAGGGCAGAAACTTTCTCAACTCCTCCAGCTCTGGTGTCTGTCAACATTCCTTGGCTTGTGGCCACATCACTTGAGTGGCTCTGGGTTCCAGTGCTTCTTGACTGTGTGTATCAGACTCTCCTTTCTTTATGTTGGGATACTTATGCCTGCATCTAGGGCCACCAGCTGATCCAGAATAATCTCCTTGTTTACTTAAATTCACAAAGACCCCCTCCCCTCTTTTGCCATATAAAGTAACATTCCCAAGTTCCGTGGATTAGGATGTGGATATATTGGGGGTGGAGGCTCAGTCTATGGTATCCCTAGACTTTTGCAGCCATCTCTGTCTCCTTTCCCCGAGTTCCTTTAAATATGCAGATCAATTCATATCTGAGTCCGCCTTAAAATTCTTCAGTGGTTCTTGTGGCCCATGGATGCTCTTACTCTCTTGATGTGGCCTGTCATTGCCTCTCTGCCTTTTCTCCTCCTGCTTTTCTTTTATTGTATGTTCCATTCATGTTCAATTTCCTCTAGTTCCATGGAGGAGCTGGGTTTGCTTCTCTGGTCCTCTGCTCTATTCTCTCTGAGACACTTGCCCGCCTCTGGGTGAGTCCAGTTCTCACTTGGACTTGGGTCTTCATCTCCTCAAGAAGACTTGCTGTCCCTGCCTGGGTCAGCTGTGCCTTTCTGTGTGTTCCTTTTGAGCTCTCACATACTTGGGACAGGATTCCTTGCAATGTCCACCTTGTTCATGTAATGTGTCCCCTGCACCTGGAATGCTGTCTGATACACGGAAGGTGCTTAATAACGGTTTTTTTTCTTTCTTTTTTTTTTTTTTTTGGTACCAGGGATTGGACTCGGGCACTCGAACACTGAGCCACGTCCATAGCCCTATTTTGTATTTTATTTAGAGACAGGGTCTCACTGAGTTGCTTAGTGCCTTGCTTTTTGCTAAGGCTGATTTTGAACTCTTGATCCTCCTGTCTCAGCCTCCTGAGCCCCTCTGGGATCACAGGCGTACGTCACTGCACCTGGCAATAATTGTTTTTTGATGAGAAAACCTACAGGAGGGGGAGCCTTTCCAACCACCCTACCAAGAATAATGCCCCCCAGAGAGCGCCAATGTATGCAGAAGAGTCTTTGCTGGAGATATGCTCTATGGGAAATGCCAGACGTTCCTACAGATCTTTATTTTTAAACAAAAAATCAAGAATCATGTAACTATGAGATCGGAGAAAATATTTCCATGCTTATTATTCTGTTTTCTTTCAGGCCGTTCCTGTGTTTCTCATTTTGCATAATGCAGCTGAAGTTATCATCTGTGGCTACCAGAAGTGTTTTTGGAAAGAGGTAAATGATCATGCAAAACATTAGTTTTACATCCCTACCCTTATATTTCTAAGAAACACTCTCCTTTTCAGTGCCCTCAATGAGTGTCCATTCCCGCCACCAATTTCCAGTCAAGACTGCCTGACAGTGGTCACTGATTGCAGGCAACCTGCTTTTAACATTGCTCAGTGGATCAGATGTTTGTGGGAATGTTTGTTCGTGTGAATGCAGCTTGACTCCAGAACAGGGTTGAACCAGAACCTCAGGAGACAGAGGAATTTGCCACTGGTCTGGTTGGTAGCAGTCCCAACCCCAGCTAGTCCAGGTACCACAAGAAAATGCCCCACAGGGCTTTACACAGAGCATTTGCTCAGCCAGGGAAGCTTTTCTTTCCAGTCCTAGCTGTATCTCATACCAGCCAGAGCAAGTCCTTCACCTTTGGGGAATCCATCTCTGAAAAACCACAGCTACGCATGTGTAAGTGCCTCCCACAGTTTCTAGCACATCGTAGGTGCTCTGTTTGCCAGCTGTGATGATCAGTGTTATCATGGGTGGTTTCATTTGGTCCCATGGCCTGCTGTCCTCGGGGTCTCCCCAGGCATCTGTAATGCAAAGGGATCCAATGGAACGGATCTGCTTTTCCCATCATGCTTCTCAGGTGGGAATCCCAGTTCTGGCCATCATCACCCAACTCAGAAACCTAGGAGTCCCTTCTACTCCTTAGTCTCCTTTCCCCACCCCGTTCAATCTGTTACTGAATCTGTCCCTTCTTTTCCATCCCCACTGCCGCAGTCACCCTAGTTCAAGTCCTCTGTCTTTGGGTGGCCTAGCTGAGGGGCTGAGGGATGAGAGCTTGGTCCCCTGAGCACGTGTGGCAGTCAGGTCGGGCCTGTGTCCTTTCCTCTGCAGCTGTTCCAGCAAAGGTGGGGGCTATAGTCCACTTGGCACTTGGCTGATCTCCATGTGGGTAAAGGGTTCCTTGCTCCTCAAGGAGAATGGCCCCTTTCTCTCTGATATTTTACTTACCACACCATCGTGCAGTTCCCTCTATCACCAGTTCTACTATGTGCTGCGTTTTTTTGTTTTTTGTTTTTTGTTTTTCTTTCATTAATCTAAAATCAGGAGACTCTTACAATCAATCATGTGGTGTAATTGTTTTCCTTCTGACATTTTATAATCAATGTTGTCTTAGGTTCAGTGAGATAGGGAAATATTTTCCTGTGTCTCCAGGAGGCTTCCTTTGAGCCCTTCCAAGGTCAAGGATCATGGGATGGGTGTCTTTAAAGAGTGGTGCTGAGCTGAGCTGTCACCGAGTAGGCACTGAGGATCAGGTTCACCATCTCCCTGAGAGCTGTTCAGCTCTAGGAGGCTGACCCAGGACACTCAGATTCCAAAAAGCCCAATTAGTCCTGAGAGGGGTACTTTTTTACGAATTTAGAAATGAAGATTTACCTGGTCTGGGGGTGGGATTGAGGTACCTCTTCAGGGTTTTGTTTCCTGATGGACAAGTCGAGTCCTGTAGATGAAGGTGAGTAGGACTTGGGATTAGAGAGTCCCCTCGGGGTATTTCCATTCAGCAGGAGACCCTCTTCTTCCCTGCAGGCCAGGGGCCAGGATTCTGTCTGAGAGAATCTGTCCTTGGAATTAACTAGATGAAAGCTATAAGATTTTGAATCTTCCACTCCATTTCATTAGTAAGGCAAATCAACCTCATTTCTTGTCTGGGAAAATTAGAAAACAATTGTGTGGGTAACTTTTTTTTAGTTATTTTTGAAAAAAGCTTTTCTTTTTTGTATGAATATAAGATGGAATCAGCTGTAGAAAAGCAGAAGAAAAAATTCTGGAAATCAACTGTTTCTGCTTCCCCAAGGAACCTGTGTATTTTTAGCAGACATTTTTTTGCGATGTACATGTAGAGATGTATTTACACAAAGGGTAAAACCCACCCTGGTGTTTCCATTTAACACTTTGTCAGGAATCCATATTCCTGTCCGCATTCCGTGTTGGATGAAGCATACTTTTGGCCAGTCCCTCCTTGCAGACCTGCAGGTAGTTTCTGGCTACTCAGCATTAAAATCTGCTCTGTGATGAAGATGGCTGGGATGTAGGCTTGGTGTGACTTACGTTCCTCACCCTGAGACTGGGAGCCCTGATGTATGTAGGTTCCCATTTCATAAGGAACACATTGCTCCCCACCTCACAGACTGTCAAATGGTACGATGTTATTCTGTCCCTTATGCGTAGATTTTAATAGAATCCATTTTGGAAAGTAAAGTTGACCTCCTCATGACCTCGTTCCCAGATTATGAGAATCAACTCAATCTGGAACCTGTAGCTTATTTTCATGATCTACAATTTGTTCTTTGTGGAGGCACACACACATGCACACACAGTTTGACTGTAAGGTACTGTGTGGCTCATGGAATTCATCATCTACCTTGCAGATACATTAGAATAATGCTTTTTGTTTGTTTGGCATTTATTAGGTGTACACTAAATAGCAAAGATTTTGCTAGGCCTAAAACTGGAGATGTGTAGGAGGTATTGATTATCCTTATAGAACTCAGCATTGAGCGGACATGTAATTGTGAGTTTTGATGTCCATACAGACTGGGATGAGGTGTGGGTGGACCAGGAGGTGACCACCAGCAAGTCTGCTGGGAATGAGCAGGGAAGGCCTCCCCAGGGCTAGATTTGAGCCAAGATACACCAGATACATAGGGATTTTCTAGTTAGATAAGAAGAAAGGGTGCTCCAGGCAGGCACAGGAAGCAGCAAATGAAGGGTGGTGACTTAAAAGGACCAGCAGTTGTGTCCTGGCAAGCAGACTGGAAAAAAAAAGTCAGATTTTGAAACCAGAACGCCTGGGTTCAAACCCCATGTCCTTGGATGACTTCCCTAACTTCTCCGTGAGTCAGGTGCCCTTATCTAGAACAAATAACCCACAACTATTAATTATCTCATAATTAAATAAGTCAATGCATACAGAGCCCTTAGGAGTAGTGCTGGGCACCGAATAAGTTAGCTAACCCTGAGTGATGTTAGCCACTTATTGTTAATTTTGGCAGTGTGACTTTTGAGGAGTTGTGTTGGCCCATTCAGAAACTGAGCTATTGTTGGGACTCATTACTGGGTTATTTCTAAACAAAGGTAACATTAAGTCCTCAGTTGTTTTCAGAGCCCTGGGAGAAGAGAGCTAAATAACGAATCCATTGCTTGTTTTCACCGTCTGGGCTCTTTTAATCTGAAGGAGTTTAAAATTTAAAAAAGAATCTGTCCCCTGTGGGAGGGGGAACTCTCAGGCTCTGGATGGACTTGTTGCCTTGCGACAGACATCCAACATTAGTTACTGGGCAAACATGTTTTTCGTGAAAAAGTTGGGACTTCCCTTTAATCTCTGTCCTTCCTGACCTATTGTTCCACCAGACTGTGGAGATTTTGGTTACATTTGGCTCAGAATCTTTTAGAAATATATTTTATCTGTAGTGGGGACAATTATGCAGGAACTGTGAGCCCTTCAGTGGTTATCCGCTCTGCATAAACGAAAGGCTGTCCCCACCAGGGGGCAGAGCATCCATGCCTGGCTCTGCTTCCTGTACTCAGATGCCAGGCTGGATAAAAATCAGAGATTAAAAATCCCAAGGATGCAAGCCACTGCTTTGCACACAAATAGAATCTGTTTATGAAAATAACAAAAACTTGATTATTTAGTAACAAATGCACACTTAAGATAGTCTGGTAGCAAACCGCTTATGTTTCTCTTGTCAACGCCTCATTTCTAAACAATATTTATACTTCTCACTTTATCTGAACTAGTGTCAAAAATTGTAATTTGTCCCCAACTCGAAAAACGATCCTTCTGAAATCTCCAGAATAAATCTGTCATCCTACCTGTCTGTTTCTTCTATAAAACACAAGATTCTGTGCTACTCCCTCCTTCGTCTGTTCAAAGAATACAGTGAAATTGGTTAATTGGCAGGAGTTTATAAAGGTTGAGTCCAAATTAGAATTGATTCATTGTAGGAAATCATAAATGAAAAGTTTCCATTCCCCAGTCTGCCATTTGTTGTCTCTCTCTTCACCTTTTTTTTCTGTGTATTAATTTTCACATCATCACCAGTCATTTTATAGGACTGCTTAGAGTCAGAGGTGGATAAATGAAAGGGTTATTTGAAGAGACAGACCTGTGGCTCAGGGTGGATGCATGCACCTCTAGTCCCAGCTACCTGGGAGGCTGAGGCAGGAGGAACACTTGAGTCCAGGAGTTTGAGGCCAGGTTGGGCAATGTAATGAGACCTCGTCTCAAAAATAAGTAAATAAAAATAAAGAGACAGACCTAGAAGAGAAGTTGGGTTAGAACTTAATTTATTTTCCTACGTGGATATGGATGGCGTCGATCTCTCTCTCCTTTCCCTGTGCTTGGTATGGAAGATTCTTGAAGGTTGCCCTGACATCATTTTGCTTTTCATAGGTAAACATTCTCATGGTGAAAGTGCTTTGCCGAGGTGACTCAGCTCTGGAACTGAGTCATCCTTCATTTAGTCCAAGCAGAAAAAGCTTTAAAAAATAGTGAAGTGTAGCAAGCTTGCAAAACCTCTAATAAATTCGCTCATAATTTATTTGCCTCTTAATTGAAATGTTTTTTGGGGGAATATTTTTGAAGACTAATTATGTGTCTTTACTTTCATACAGAAAACATCTCCTGCAAAGATCTGTAGGTAAGTTTTTAAAAAATCAAAACATCTCTCTAAAACATAAGATTGAACCTCATTTTAACTTGAGTGATAGACTTTTGAAGATTCTGAGAGCTGACAGAGGAATTTATTATGAACAGTTATATATCCCTATTTTGTGTCTTATTTTAAAACATATTCTCTCCTCTCTCTCTCTCTCTCTCTCTGCAAAATTTTATTCCTAAGGGGAAAACAAAACTAACTTGTGTTAGATTTCAGCTCTTGATGCCCCAAAACTTTGTAATAAGTTGTACAATACTGGTGGAGAACTGAAAAACATGGAGATGACTTAAATTTTTTTAAAAATAATGCAGTTTTTTGAGGCTCTAAGATGTTCCACTGTGGGAAAAGCATTAGCCTGTAAGTCCCAGGATCTAAATTGCAGTCCTGGGCACAGCACAGTGATGGTGGGCAAGTTTCTTCCCCCTCTGAACCTTGGTTTCCTCGGCAGAGCATGACTGGACTCTCATACAGTTCTCTCCACCTCTGAATTCTCCTTCTAACTCCTTACCTTCTTCTCTCACCCCTTCCTCCTTCCTCTGCTGTAACTGAGATGCTCAGTCCCACGATAGAAAACCAACAGCGATGCTTTGATACACAGATTTAGGATTTTTGTTTCAGATATTTCTGGGCTTCCATCCCAGCCGCGCCCCCCTCTTTTTTCTTTGCCTTTATTACAGGTTACAGCTGGAAAGGAAAATGTAAAACAAAATTTCAGGACTCACCACTTGTTTACAAGGAGATTCTCAAAGTGTTAAAGAGAGGCATCAAAGCCCCTAATGTTGTGAGGTGGCTGGCACCCTGACAGGGTAGATTCCTGCTCAGGAGGTGTGAGCTGCCTGAGGAATAGAAAGTCTGAATTAATTAGTAAGAAATAGAGCCAGAGCCAAAAATTAGATGAAAGAAAAGTGGAGCGCCTGGTAGGTCTCCAGTGCTGATAGGAGCTGGAACTGAACAACTGAACATGGATTCAGTTCTTTATTCAAGGGGGAGGGCCTCAAAGGCAAGGATAAGGTTTCAGGGGCAGGGGTCTTGCAGCAAATGGGTTGATTGTCATCTTAGCGAGCTACCCCCATCTCTGAGAGGCTGTGTGGCTTCAGCAGGTCACTGCATCTCCAGTGCAGTGCTGAACTTAGACAGAGCTAGGTACGAAGTCACATGAATTGGGCATTCTCAACAGCAGGGTTACCACTGGGAGTTCCCAAGACCAGAACTTCCTGCCTAATGGCTTCCATGTCGTTTGGGTTCACACACAGTTCACAAATGTTCCCAGCACCCTAATACCTGATAGATATATTACTCAAGTACCATAGGAACCAGACCCCCATCTCACCCTCTGGGTATCCCCCCATCTCCTTCATCCTCAAGGGATTCTCTGCATGAGGGGATCTCTAAATGTGCATTCCCTGGGTGGGAAGGAGCCTATATTCCAGAAAGCCCTCTACTCCAACAGACACCAAACCTATGAGGAGTCTCCTCTTCTCCCACCTAAAGCCTATTGCCTATTGCTGAGCAGCCTCAGCAGCCCCCTGACAATCTCTCTTCCACTCACCCCAGTCTTTACCTTGCGTTCTTCTCTAGGTCACTTTTGTGTGTGCATTGAAAGCAGGGAGGCTGAAGGAGGAGGTAGACTGGGTTGGAGAATTTTCTGGGCCTCATGCTGTTCTGCATTCTCCTGTCTTGACCTTCCCAAGTCTGAGGGTTCCTCTGTGCCAGTCTCCTGCTCTGGTGCAGCCATCTGGTGTCATTACAGCAGTCAGCACTTGGAATTGGTTAGCATCAGTTTCCAGTATATTGAGATTGTTACTATCTGCTTGTTGAATGTTACATAGGTATGATATATTACGTGCACAAACATCTATATCATGTAATATATATGTGTGTATAATCTATGATCTATAGAAGAATATAGATTAATCTATATTCTATATTTAGATTATGTATAAATATGTGATCTATATAAAGAACATAGATCACATGGGATATGTATCAGTATGAGATGCCATATGACAGAATCCCCTGAAAGTGAAAATTCTGTATCCAGTGCTTCTTTTCATGCCTTGATCCTCTGCTGTTTGTCTCCTGATGGAATAGGTCAGTAGTGAGGGCCTAACATTATATATGTTGTTGCACTTATAAAATGAAAAGAGAAGAGAGACCAAGACTTAATTTGGGTTTGGGGCTTTCTGATGCCTTCTTTTAGGAGAACAGAATGATTGGGGAAAGCTACAGGCAAAGTCAATTTGTATATGAAAACCAGAAGACAGATGCTAAAAACCAATGATTACTGAGCCAGCTCTAAATGAACTTTGTGATGAATGAGGATAGTTCTCTGAAAATATCTGATGGGCAACATTATTTTTTGTGCAAGAATTTTTGGAAGACATTATATTGTGGAAATCTCCAAACATATAAAAAAAGTAGACAGTAATATAAGGAAGCCCATCTACCCATCTTCCAGCTTCAATAATTTTTAATTTATGGATCTATCCACTGCTTCACTTCAGTATGACTTTGAAGCACATCCTAGCACCATAGCATTTCATCTGTAAATATTTGAGTATGTAAAAGAGATTTTTCTAGTAACAATATTTATATGAGAAATAAAGTGTAAACCTATAGAGAGGTTGCAAGAATATTACAATGAATGCCCATGCACTATTCACCTACATTCACCCAGTGATAACATTTTTCCATTCTCTCTCTCTCTGTATCCCTCCCTCCCCTATCCTCCCTTTTTCTCACATATATAATGCATGTCTACACATACCTAACATTACCCAAAATACAGAAAGATATTCTTATTTTTCTGAACCATTTGAGTGTAAATTGCAAAGACCATGACCCTACTCCTAAATACTTCAAAGCATATCTCCTAAAAAAAAGCAATCCTTTTCATATAACTGAAGGGCACTTACTAAATTTAGGAAATTGATATCTGATACAATACTGTTATCTAATATCTCAGCCCAAGTTCGTGTTTTTCCAGGATCCCAGTATTATCTTTTGTAGCAATTTCCCCTTCAAGAATGTCATGTCTCTCTTGTGTCCTTTAATCTAAGACAGTTCCTCAACCTTTCATTGCCTTCACATTTTTGAAGCTTAGAAGCCTGTTGTGTTTTTGGACTGTAAGTTTGGTTTTGTCTCAGCCTTTTCTCTTAATTCAATTCAGCTTTCACCTGTTTGACAGCCACATGTGTGATGTTGTACCTGAATATGTCCTATCAGGAGGACAGGGCATTGATCTATCCAGTTATTGGAGATTATTGAGTCTGAACATTAAAGTTGTGTACAAAGGATTTTAATAAGCTTTTTTTGTTCGTTGTTTTTCTGTTGTTGTAACTGGCATGATGGTGATCTGATTGCCTAACTAGACACTCATGTTTTCTGGGGATCTGTAGTCAAAAACCTCCTTTTATTAGCTGTTTGACAGACACACTGTTTCTTGAGTGAGCCAGCTCTGGTTTTCATGTGTCCTGCAAGTGCCCGATTCTGGGCAATGGCTAGCTGAGCCGCAGAGAAGATGTCTGGCTGTCAGCAGAGAATGTAATTGAAAACCACACAGGAGTCGGGGTTCTCAGAGGATGAAGGGGGAACTGGGTTGGTCTCAGGCTCTTTGCCTCCTCCAAACTCCAAGGGATCTGGTCCAACCTCCACACTCTCTGGGAAGGGCTTTGATGTTGAAAGGTGAAGCTGCCTGTTTTATCTGCCTGTCCACAGCGCCCTCTTCCTCCTGGCAGCTGCAGGGTGCCTTCCCTTCAACGACTCCCAGGTAAGTCCAGGTAAACTCCTTTTGCCTTCAAAGAGTCTTTTACTCTCTGAAGTCTCACATGTGTGCAGACTTTCCTAGTCCTTGCTTTGAGAATGAGGATAACCTGGCCTATGTGGAGGCATTAAGAAGCTCCCAGCAGCACCGTTTCCCCCAGGCCTTAGAGGTCTGGCCCTGGGTTGCATGCATTTCATTCTTGTGCAAGTCTGTGAACCTGCACTCCCATGCCTGGGTCGCCCCAGCCTCAGGCATTGAGGCAAAGTTGATTTTCCTGCTCATCACCAGGGCCTCTGCTGGAAGTGATTTTTACTTGATCACCCTATGCCAAATTGGAGATTTCCTTATGGGGCACTAAGGACCCATCGCATCCCCAGTAACCATCTCCTTGCTAGGTTTTTCTTTCTTTTCTGCCTCCCTTTCTCCCCCAGCATTCTTAAGTGCCACCCCCATGCCACCCCAGTGTCAGGCTCTGAGACTTTGTTGTGGCAGAAATCAGAGTCTATTCAGAGCAAAGGGAGAGGGAGATGGACAAGTGAGCAGTCAATTAATTATGACAGGGAGACCAGGACTCAGTCCAGAGAGGTAGGGAGGTTATGAAGTACCTAAGAAGACTCAGGGACTTGGAAAATAGGAACAGCTAACAATGATAGGATCCTGCTGTGTGCCGTCCCTGCACCAATTCTTTTTATGCCCTATTTTACTTAAAATTTCACAACAATTCTGTAGGACAGGGACTATTATTATCTCCATATAATAGCTAAAGAATAGTGAGGCCCAAAAGGTCACCGGCTAATGAATAAGAGGGGATTTTAGAATGTAACCTAGATCACTCTGGTGCTAGAGCCAGGCACTGCTTACTGAACCGAAATCTGAAAGAATGAGGAAAAGTGCCAGAGGAGCCTTGGGTATGCTGGGATTTGACTTTACTGAACACCTACTATGTGGCCACCCCATTCTAACTCCTGCCTTCCTGGGACTTCCATCTAGTGGGGGGTGGGCGGAGATGGAGACAGAATAAGGAAACTGTAGAGTGTGTCAGCTATATCGAGGCCTGTGGAGAATATAGAAAGGGAGAAAAAGAAAGAGTCTGCTTGGCTAGTAAGCAGAGAGCATTTGTTTTGGAAAATGCAAACCATCCTTGTTCTTTGAGGGTAGGGGGCTGTAGTCATGACTGGAGGGTTTGTGGGGGCTTGTCATTGAGGTCCTTGAGTGCCATGAGTTTGGATTTGCAGTGTGGTGGGTAAGGGGGGGCTGAAGGCCAAGCTGCATCAGGAAGTTGTTGTAGGATACTGGGTGACATATGAGGGAGAATGGACCTAGACCCTAAGAGTGCTGGTTTGAAACCTTGCCCGGCACTGTGCTTTGATGACTCAGGTTTCTGCCTGCTGTGCGGGATGCTGTTTGTACTCAGAGCTGTTTTTTTTTTTTCTTTTTCTTTCTTTTATCCTGTGTTACAGTTTGATCCAGATGGATATTTTTGGGCTGTAATTCACTTACTCTGTGTAGGTAAGTTTTAACTAAATGCTTACTTAAATATTTGAAGTATGTTTTTTAATTGGTATGTTATAATTTTACTTAAGAGTGGGATTCATTATGCCATATTTGTGTAAGCACATAATTTGATCATTATCATTCCTGTTGCCTTCCTTTTCTCTCTTTCCCTAATTTTCTAGCTGTATTCACTGATAGTGACTCTGGACAATAGGAAAATTAAATCCAAGGTTAAGGGCTGGGGTTCTAGTTCAGTGGTAGAGCACTTGCCTAGGATGGGTGAGGCACTGGGTTTGATCTTCAGCATCACATAAAAACAAATAAATAAAATAAAGGTTAAATTCCTTAAAAAAAATCCAAGGTTAAAATCAAGTGGGCATTTTCAGGATTTGTTTTTCTATTTTGGAGTTTTCTTCAACTATTTCCCTTTCCAATATAGTTCCCTTTCCTCTCTTTCATGATAAACATTAGCTCAGATTTTGCCTGCCAAGCCCACTGGTAGAATGCTGGTTGTTCTTTCTTTAAAAGGGCAGAAAGGAAGGAATCCAAAAGCATATTTTAAAAAAGCAAGCAAATAGTAATAATAATAATAATAATAATAATAATAATAATATCATCAAGTTGGTGTAATAAAAGAACCATCTGATTTTTTTTTGTTGTTTTCTGTTTTGTTTTAGTACTGTGGATTGAAATCAGTCAGGGGCACTTAACCACTGAGACAGGATCTCAGGTCCTTGCTAAGTCACTGAGGCTGGCTTTGAACTTTCGGTCCTCCTGGCTCAGCCTGCCAAGCCACCAGATTTCAGGCATGCACCAGCACACCTGGCAGACCATCTGATTTTATTTCAAAGTCATATGTTCGGTGTTTCTTGTTTGTAATCTTAGGGGGAATAAACAGTGCCCTGGATTTATTAACACAGTTTAGAAATGTTCAGAAATCCCTCAGTGTTTCTCTTTCCCATGTGCATTGTGTGAAGGAAGTAAAACCTTCCTTTTAATTATATATCTACCTGTGGATCATGACACTTTCCTTGCCTGGTGCTCCCTGTGGGCCACTTGAAGGACTGACGTACATTATCGTGGAGGACCATTGAATTCACATCCTTGAGTCCCTCCAATGTTCTTAGTCCTCTCTTGTCAGTGGGTGACCCTCATAGGGAAAAGGGGACCAGGAGCTGTGCTGTTAGGGTTCTTCTCTGCCTGGATTTTGTACTTTCTTGAAAGTGCAGGCAGCTCTTTAAGCAGAATGTCACGTGACTTCATTTCCAGGTGCTTATAAAATACTACGGAAGTTCCAGAAGCCCAGTGCATTAAGGTAAGCTCTGAATGTTTGGTGAGTTGTTTGGTTAAAGGAAAGAGATGAGATCTATTCAGTATGAGATTCTTCCATCTGGCCAGACTCTCTGCAAGTCTGGTTGCAGGAGGGCAGCAGAGAGCCCTCAAAGCTGTCTGTCCTCTTGCTGCCTGCTGCCCCAGCCACTCTGGGCCAGGCCCGCTGCCATCTGAGAGGGATCAGCTTTCAGCTAAGTGTGTAGAGACATGGATCACCTTTCCTTCATGGGCAGCCATTTAGAAAAGAATTTAATGAAATATATGTGATCAGCTGCTTTGGACCCCAGTCGACTAGGTTTTCTTTTTTCCCCAGTACCTTCCAAACTTGACTCAGTTTATTCCTAGGAGTCTCCCTACTTCTGTTCTTGGATAAAATAAGACCCTCGTTGCAGCCAGCAATGGAGTCCCTTTAGAATTATGGCCTCAGTTGAGGGGGACTAGCTGCCTCCGGGTCTTGGGTCCTGAAGCCCTAAAGAGGAAAGGCCTGAAGGCGGTGGCCTGAGAAGGTCAGGCCCTCTGAAACCCCTAAGCACCTTTCACTTCCCAAGCACCTTTTTTTTTTTTTTTTGAATAAAGTGTTTTTGTAGCAAGAAGCCAGTAGAGTTGCCTTTATAGACAGGATGCTCTTTAAATTTGAATTTCATCTGAGCAGCAAACTTTTACAGTTTAAGTATGGCCCATGTGATATTTGGAGCATACACTAAAACATTGCTGTATCTGAGATTCAAATTTATTTAAGTGCCCTTTACTTTTGTTAAAAATGGTAGCCCTAGAAGCCAGTCTAGTGCCCTGAGATAATTGATAGTCCTTTGAAAGTGGTCCCGTGCACACGGGAAGCCATCAGCCACACAGGTGAACATGTGTGTGTGTTATGGCACTTAACTAGGAACTGTTTTTAAAACAATAAACCTGCGGGGGAGGGGGGAGGGAGGGATTATATGCAAATTTAAACATTTTAAAAATAATTCAGTTATACAAAATAAATTTTATAAAGTTATTTCAGGTTAAAAAAACACCCTGGAATTAGTTTTGAATATTTTTTATTAAGAATAAAATTTATTAAGAATTTATAAAGTAGTAACATGTAGAAATAAAATTTATTAATAGTGGATAATGACTGTATTGTGTTTTTAAAAATTTCTTCTATTGTTTCATATGTTTTATCTTTTCTCTCTCATTCCTTAGTGATATTGACCAGCAGTACTTAAACTATATATTCAGGTAAAATATAATTTGCATTTTGAAGTACCAATGCATATTCTTCTAGAGCTAATGAATTTTATTTTCCAGTAATGTTTTGATTAGAGAGCAAATGGGGCTGCCAGGAAAGGGAGTTAAATAATTTGTGAGATGACCAGAGATGGGAAAACCAGCTAGTTGTCTTGCCCTTAGACCAGGCCTCCATCTAGCCTGCACTTCAGAGGGCCACATTCCTCCCCTTGGAGGCTAAGGGGCATTTCATACAGACCCCACAACCTCACTTCTAGACTGTGCCCTTCAATCCCCTACCCAAATGGCTCCAAGCTCCTTTCCAAGCCCTTCCAGGTCTGTCTTTCCAAATTGTTCCTATTAATGGGTGTCCTAGAGAGGCTGTTACCAGAATGGGATGCAAACAGAGGATGTCCTGTTCATGTACATGTGTGGAGAATTCTTGGGGACCAGGAAGGAACCTGGGGTACAAAGAGAAGAGGGCACATTGGGAACCCAGAGCCAGAGGCCAGATCTCCCCATGCTGCCACCTTCTGACACAAAGCTCCAAGCATTCTCAGAATTCTAAATTAAAAAAAAAAAAAAATCTTTATTTTTTAGTTGTAGTTGGACACGATACCTTTGTTTTATTTATTTATTTATATGTGGTGCTGAGAATCGAACCCAGGGCCTCGCTGAGCCACAACCCCAGCCCCAGAATTCTAAATTTTAATCTAGATTCCAGGTTGTTTTCAAGGTGTATTTGTTCAGGTAGGATCAAGTTTGAGGTTTGGGTTTTGACTTTTAAATTGGTATGTGGACTATTGTTTTATCCTTGTCTGAGCCAGGCTGAGGATGGGGTCACCCTGCTAAATAAATGCTGGGACTCTTTCTTGGATCTCAGTAGCCTCAGTACTAGCCGTTTGGCCTCTGGGTCTTGGGATCTGAAGCCCTAAAGAGGAAAGGCCTGAAGGCAGTGGCCTGAGAAGGTCAGGCCCTCTGAAAACCCCCAAGCACCTTTCACTTCCCAAGCACCTTTTGTTTTTTGAATAAAGTATTTTGTAGCAAGAAGCCAGCAGAGTTGCCTTGATAGACAGGATGTGCTACCACACAGACCTGAGAGAGAAAATGCCCAGGGTTGTGAATTTTAGTGAAGAGGGCCAAGGTTGGAGATGTGCCCCACCATTTGGTCATGCTGATTTCTGGAGGAAGTTACTCTACTTAAAACATTCATCTTGAGCTGTGTTCTCCGTGTGCAGAGGATGCCGGTAAATTTCCTATTATTTATTAAAATGCCTGTATGAATGAAAGACATACCCCACACATCGCTGTGGGCCACCTTCATGCCCAGCAACAGTCAGTCACACTCTGCTCAGACCCACCAGCTCTTTCAAGAGATTTTTCTGAAAATACAGAAGGCTATTGTTATTTAAAATACTTCCAAAGACTAGGGTAAATAGTACAGCACTTGCCTGGCATGCACAAGGCTCTGGATTTGAACTCAGCGCTGCAAAACAAAACAAAACCAAGTTTCTAAGCCATTGTGCCATTATAGGCAATTCTTCTGTACAAAACATATAACCCCAGATCGCACAGTAAAGGAATAGAGATATAGAAAAATGAGCCTCTGTTGACCCTCAGCCTTTTCTTCTGACCTCTCCCCCTCCACCTGGAGTGAGGATATTTATTGCCTATGATCTGGGTACTCCCAGCTTCCTGGCTGAGGCTGTGGCATACCCTGCTTAAGCCGTGACTGGTTCCAGGTTTTTTCTGGTACAAATGATAAAGATGTATTCAATTTCCCCTTGGCACTGGGTGCTAAGGGTATTGGTGTCCAGAAATCTGCAGTCTGCTCAGATTTATGGTTTATCCTTAGTGGGGCCAGCCTAGAGTGCTGCATGCCAGGGTGAAAAAATTGGTTTGAACTCTGGATATTTTGAGAAATGCAAGCAGTTGGATGGTTCTCTGCCTTTGGCAGACACTCCTACTTCACTGAGGATGGATTTGCTCCCTGACCTTGACTTCTTGATGTTTCTAATATTGAGAATAAGGAACCACGAAAGGGGAAAGAATGAAGGAAAAGGAGAATGGAAAAGGCTGTCCACAGGCTGAGCATAAATAAATTGCTAAAATTGGATATCACTTTGCTCTGCCTTTTGAGGAACTTAGACAATGTGTAAGGAACGAACGTTATAGAATGACCTTGTAGTACCAGTTCTTTTTAACACGCGGCAGATACTGATCTCTCTGTCTATTAAATAAAAAATCACCATAATGTTACTCATTTATTCTCCATCTCCTTATTTTCCAGATGCAATTTTGTGTATGTGTGTCAAAGGGAAATAGGTATTCTCTCTGGGGTATGAGTTAGAGAAACAGAAAAAAAGTATTGGAATTTAGCATATGTAGATTATGGTTTCCTTGTGTTCTTTCATTTTATTTTCTACGAGCATAGGATGTTTCAGTTTTGTTTACCTGTTTCTTCTTAGATAATAGAACAGTACCTGACACATATTAGACACTCGATAAATATTTATTTGAATGAGTGAATTTTAAAAAGGCCTGCTATTTGGCATGATATGCCTTTTATGTTAGTATAATTTCCTCTTTAGAGTTTACATGTAACTTATGATCTTAGAACTATTGGGGGCTTCAATTTATATTTTTCTTCAAATGTATTCCTACCACAGATAACCTAGAGGTAATTAACTACATTATAACACATATTGAGCCCTGATGTATGCATGACACTATATCCATGTAGGTACTTGGGATTGAGAGATGAATAAAATATAGTTCTCACCCCCAAAGAGGTCACAGCGTAGGACTTAGGAGTGGGTTAGCATTGTATTTGCAAATTTCCAGACAGGAGTTAGAAGACCAACTCTTTCCCTTAATTATTTCTACCCCTTAATATTTTGGAGTGACCCTTATGATGGGAATTGGGGAGCCATGGCAGGCCCTGAGAGATATTTTGGGATGGAAAGAGGTGCTTCATATCCTGCAATAGGAGCAATTTCTTCTGCTACTGAAGTTATAAACAAAAGAGGATCCAGGGAGTTCAAATAATGGCATATGAAGAGATTACAAGTTTTCCAAAAAATGACAAGATGTCAAGTGAAGACTTACAGAGCCCATGTGAAGGACTAATCATTCCACAGTCTCCAGTCTTGTGTAGTATGTATACTTTTCAGAGCTACAAGTAAGCCCTGTCTTACAAACTGACAACTTCCTTAGGATCCCCATAATGGGCTCTTCTCCATTGTCCTCCCAAGCATCCTCTCCTGCTCCTTTGCCAGCCATACTGCTACTGCTCAAGGGGACACAAGAAATGGGCTTTCAAGGCAGAGCTCAGGAGAAACAGAAATGGTGCAGGGAGATAGCCCTAGGAGCAGGGCAGGGCTGACAGTCTAACAGTGGTTTCTGCTCACGGCCACCTTCCTTAGGACTACCTACAACGTCACCACTCACTGGAGATTGCCTATTGTGATCCTTGGTTCCAGTGCATTTTAGAACTGCCTGGGCCATCATGGAGAAAACTCCCTGCCCTGGGAGATTCTGATGTAAACCAGGATGCTGGACTAGTCTGATGTGCAGCCAGGGTTGAGCCAGAGCAGGCCATTCCACACATTTTAAAAAATTCCTTCCCAAACTTAGATGTCAAGTTTTATTCCTAACCTCTAACTAGATCGACTGTCTGGATGGCATGGAGTTTTTGTAGAAGAGGCTGAAGAAGGGAGGATTCAGTCCACTTCAGGGGGCATTGGACAGCATGCGGGCACCATAGAGGGGTGCAGGGATACAGAAGTTTCCAGAGGGGAAGAATGGGGTGCCATGGTCCAATGTGGCTCACATCAAAGAACATTCCTCCATCTCCTTTCCAGACCCCCTCCCCGCCCCCTTCTGTGGACATCTATTAAACTTCAGTCCAGGTAGTTTTCAGCTGTGGTTGGATGGATCAATTTGAGGGCAGGTTGGAAATTTAATTACCTTAAACACACTTCACTTTATGGAAAAAGGATACTCAGCTCACATAGCTCAATGGCTAGCTTTTAGATTGCAACCTATTTGTAATGTGGAGTGCCCTTGGTCTTGCTCTTAAATACTCTGGATAAATTAAATGTGATCATAGTTATGGTCAGCCAGGACTGAGAAAAGTGACATCATTGGTCCTCAGGTGGGACAGGAGAGCTTCAGTCTGTCCCAGGAAGATTCAGCCTTCTTGCCAAAACATTTTAAGAGATTCTCACTCTCTGAGCTGGGCTTAGGCAGAATGAGACCAGTCACTATAGAAAATTCGCTTTCAGGCCAATTGAACTATTTCCAAGTAAAATGAATGGAAATGTATGGTTTTATATCCCCCCCCCTTTTTTTTTCTTTTTTGTGCTGGAGAAACTTTCTTGACTACTTTGCTGTGTCTTTTTCAGTGTGGTGTTTCTGGCATTTGCAGCTCACCCCACAGGTAAGCCGTCTGGGGTGTTTGTGTGTTGTTTTACATTGACCCTGTTTAACCCAGTGTTCTGAGCTTGGTTGTTATCTCTGAAGACATCCCAAAAGAGAATATGGTTACCTTCCAGTATGTCACCCTGAGAGATAAAAAATGGTCCACCTACTTGAATTTGCTCTTAACCCAATACAGTACACCTGGGGATATAGCTCAGTGGTAAAGCACTTGCCTAGCATGTATGAGACCCTGGGTTCATTCCCAGCACCACAAAAATTAAAGTTAAAAAAAAAAGACCCACTGTGACTTAATTGCCCAGGAATTTTTTCTTATCTCTGATGCATTTTATTGTCTGTGTTTTCATCTAGTGTGATCTCAGATATATAGCTGAGCCTGTTTATTACCTGCCAAGTCATCTAGTGCCCTCTTCTAAAGTCCCTTACCCAAGCATCCAGAATGGCTGTTTTGATGCTAAAAGGATTTGGTGAAAAAATTCAAATACATTTCATTTCTACTGACCTCATTTTGTAAAGTTTTAATCATACATCACCATCTAATTTTCTGAATTCTGGAGTAAAGAAGTCAATTTTAAAAGCTTATTTTCACCCAATTGCTGCCTCAATTACTCTGTAGTTGCTTTTCAGATTGAGGAATGGATTACCTGGATTCCTGAATTACAATGCTCTATTCCAACGTGGGTTGGGTTTGGTTTGTTTGTTTGTTTTACTTTGAAAGGCTTTGGAGTCATATTAGTCTATTTTCTGTGGTTAAAAACACAGTACCATAGATAGGATAAATTATAAAGGAAATAGGTTGCTTTGGGCTCCCGCACTGACTCATGGTTACAGGGCCCCATCTGATGACAACCTTCTTGCTGACAGAGTCCTGAGATGGCACAGGGCATCATATGTTGAAATGAACCAGTGGAGAATGGTGCACATGTGTCATTTCTCTTCTTATGAACACCAGCCTTCAATCATGAAGGCCCCACCTTGATGACCTTATCTAATCCTGTTTCCCAAAAGCACACATCTAAACATCATAGTTGGATTAAATTTCCACTCTCACTCTCTCTCTCTCTCTTTTATTAAGTACTAGGGATTAAATCCAGCTTCTCCTGTGAGCTATGCAAGTACTTTATTACTGAGCTAATTCCCCAGCCTCCTATTTTATAATTTTATTATGAGACAGGGTCTTACTAAATTGCTATTGCCTTGAACTTGCAATCCTCCTGCCTCAGCCTCCCCAGGTAACTGGGATTCCAAGTTTCTAGGTGTGCACCACCACACCAGCAATTTCCACCCTCCTAAGACCTCACAATGAGAGTTTGACTTCAAAGTGAGTTTTGGAAAGAACAAACCATATTCCAACCATAACAGAGGTTGTAAAACAGTAGTGTCGATGTGTGATATGAATGAAAATATACATCTTATTGGTCATGCTCTTTATAGCATGGTAGAGTGTTGGAAAGAGCATTGACTTAGAATTGGAACATCTTAGGCTCCCTCATGAGTGACATGAAGACTTTTTCCCCCCCTTTTTTGTAAGCAATAACAACAACAAAAAAAGACACTAATGTTTTTTGACTACGGACATGCCTGAAGCACTGCCTAAGTCCTGGAGTCTCCGTTTTCTCATGTCTAAAATGAGAAAGGCGGGCTGGATTCTTTCTAAAGCCTTCCCAGCTCTCACCCTGTGCTCAGTGACAGCATTGTGTGGCAGTGACAGCTTCCATTGGTGTTTTTAGCTGCTTTTAACTGATTGAGCTAGTTTCCTCCATAGTGACCCTGGAGTAAGGCTATTGGATTATAAATGCTGTGTCTGAGCCCACTCTCCTAAGGATCATTCAGATCACTTTTTCTTAATGCATTACTCTCTCCATTCCCACTCACTTTTGTTTGCTCTGTCCCACAGCCTGGGGATATCTCAGACTCTGAGGTTTGCTCTTGAGTGTCCTCCCCTCTGTCATGTTGAAAGCCTTTCCTTTGTACAGTGATAAATCCTACAAAGCCATGCTGAACCCTAAGCAGTTTCTATCTACCCGTACTGCTGGTTATCTGCCTTCAAATCCTGCCTCTCGTCATGGTGCGTCAGACACCTGGCAGATGCTTTAGGGTTCTCTCTTTGAAATATGCACTTGTCAAAAGCCTTTGGAAAGTTATATTTACTGATTCTCCTGATTTACAGGTTCATTTACTTCCCGAGTTATTTGTAGGGGATGTGGATAAATAATTTTTTACCTAAAGAGATCATTTTGCCCTTCAACTAAGAGATTATGCTGTTCCTTTGTCAACTCATGATTAGCAGAGCTGGAAGGAAGCTTAGCAATTAGCACAGGTGCTTCCAGATTTTACAAGTGAGGAATATGCAGCTCAGAAGAGTTAAGTGATATGACCAAGATGATGCAGAGCAGGTGCTTAGCAGAGGGAAAAGCACTTTTAGGTCTCCTGACCCTGCTGCCAGGTTTTTCTTTTTGATTACTGTTTTTTTCACTGTTTCTATACTTTATTATAAAGTGTCTCAAGCAAGTGAATACTTTTGTAGGACATTCCTGATTTATTTCTAGAACTTCTCTTGATGTGGGAAGCATTTTCTCCACCAGTTTCCAAGCATGGTGGTTGTTGGTAATAGTTTATCTGAAAAGTCCAACTTTTCACCTTGAGTTATTACTAAATTTTTAGGCCCATATAAGAATATCTTCATGCATTGTTACTCTTTGGGAACACAAAATGGTCAGCCACCTAATATTGTTGAATAGTTTAGACAGAAGAATAATTTAAAATTTGCATCAATCTCTTTTATGAGGGGATACAATGTTCTGGAATTGGATAATGGTGATGCTTGCATGTTTTAGCTAGATTTTTTGCTGCTGTGACCAAAACAGTTGACAAGAACAGTTTTAAAGGGAGAAAAGTTTATATGGAGCTCACAGTTTCAGAGGTCTCAGTTCATAGCCAGCTGGCTCCATACCTTTGGGCCTGAGGTGAGTCAGAACATCATGGCGGAACAGTGTGGCAGAGGAAAGCAGCTCAGGACCTGGCAATCAGGAAGCAGAGAGAACTTCACTCACCAGGAGCAAAGTTTAAATCCCAAAGCCATGCCCCCAGTGACCCACCTTCTCCAGCCACACCCTACCTGCCAACAATTTCCACCCATTTAATCCATATCAGTGAATTAAGGCACTGATAAAGTTAGGCTCTCATAACCCAATTATTTTACCTCTGAACATTCTTGTACCGTCTTACATATGGGACAACAGTTTGGGGGAACACCACATATGGAAACCATATCATTACATAGTTCTGTGAATATATTATAAACCACAGAAAAGTACACTTTATTTGTTTATTTATTTATTTTAGTACCAGGGATTGAACCCAGAGGTACACAACCACTGAGCCACATCCCCAGCCCTTTCTATTTTTTATTTTGAGACAGGGTCTTACTAAGTTGCTTAGGGCCTCTCTAAGTTGCTGAGGCTGGCTTTGAACTCATCATCCTCCTGCTCAGGCTCCTGAGTCACTGGGTGGCATGCGCCACCATGCCCATCAAAAGGTATACTTTAAAGGGTTAAGTTTTATAGTATGTGAATTATATCTCAATAAAAATATGTAGAGAAAAATAAATTTCTCTGATTTGAGAACCTGTTTGGAACTTAATTATGCCAGAAGAGGATCCTTAGAAGGATTAATTTTCCTTCAATCATATTTTTAGGGGCTGTGGATGTAGTTCAGTGGTAGAACACTTACCTACCTTGTATGAGGCCCTGGATTTGGTTCCCATCACTGAAAAAAAATACACACATACACAATGTTATACATATGTAAATATATAAATACTTATATATAAAAATATGTAAATGATACTTGCCCCCATTCCTTCTCCTGAGGCTTCTAACCCATTGCATGGTAAGTGTTGAGGACTGATCTGCAGTGAGCAGGACAAGTGAGTCATGGAACCTGTGGGCTTCCTCAGAGAGAGCCTTGCACACTTCTCTTGAAGGAGTCCTTTCTGCAAGTTTGGTTTACTGTGACTTCATGCTAGCTGAGGCAGATCATTGAAGAGGCTGGTCACTGAAGAAGCTGTATTTAGATATTTGAGCTTATGAGAAGGATTTTTCTGGGTCAGTGATAGTGGCTGTGCCTCTTATGCCAATTAGTAGCAGAGATCTTGGCTTCTGGTGCAGTAAGTAGCTGAGGTTCCCCAGCAAAAGCATACCCTAATGCTATAGGACTCAGGAATCCTACAAGCCTCAGTGGCCATCATAACAGGGCTTCTGCAAAGGCCTAGGGAGGTGAAAGGACACTCACAGGGTGAACACAAAGTCCAAAGACCAAGCCACACACCAAAATCTCATGCAAGAGATTTATTGTCAGTAGCATGAGGCAAACCAACAAGGCTGTCCCTTCAAGGAGAACAGCAGCTGTCATGGCACTCAACAGAGCAGCTTTATAGCCCACAAAGAGGAATTTCATAAGCTGCTTAGGAGTTGCATCAGCTACACATTGATCGTTCAGCAGGTACACGTCTTACGGGAAGTTAAGCATTGCCTCAGAATTGAAACTTTGAAGCCTGTAGATAAAGTGGCTCCTGACCAAATATGACGAATCTGATGCCAATATTGATCTGAGGCTAATAGAAGGCCAGTGTGGAATGAGGTACAGATTGGTGACAGCCTTCCGGAAGAAGCTGGATACTTCCAAGTTCAATATTCAATCCTTGAGAACTCCAGGGAAACACTGCAAAGCCATGTAGTCTTCTGTGTGTGTGTTAGGTAATATAAAGGCATGTTCCTTTTATAAAGGTGCTCTGTATGTGATCATTGAGGTCACCTTTATTGCCTTCTTAGAACTTTTACAAATTGTGTGTCAAGGTGCCTTAAAGATATATCTACTTTTCCTTTCAATTCTTATCAGGGGAGTGCCATTGCTTGCAAACCTTGGTAGCTGTGGAGTTTGTTCTTGAGTGCCTGCATGGATGAGGACCATTGAGTGGTAAAACAATCTTGTCTAGAGTACTGAAGTTTCTTTTGAAATCCAAATGAAAAGAACTTGTCCAGGTCTTGAGCATCATTAGTCTTTAGAAATTCTCAGGGCTGCCTTAGTCAGCATGGTCTATATAAACAGTGTCCTGCTCTCTGATGTCATGCAATACGTAACCTATGCAGCTGTCAGCAGCAGCCCATGGCTTCAAAAAGTGCTCAGAAAGGCCCCCAGGGAGAAGTCATGCTTACGTTGGGTCCCACTATGGTGTCCCCTCCAAAACATGTGAAAAAAAAAGAAGTATCCAGGAATAGTAAAGTGCTTGGCATTATTTGTCAGAGTAGCTAACCAAAACAGATAGATATTAAGGTAGAAATTTGGTGTGTGAGAAGACAGAAGCTCAGGATCTAGAAGACTCCTTGGGATTCCATTACCCTGAACTCTCTGATAGTTCCTAGTGGCATTTTTTCATGGTAATATGCAGCTGATTATAAAGTTTTGGCAGACAGAACAGCTAAGCAGGATTAGTGAGTCTTGTATGTATTTTATTATTATTATTATTTTGCATTACAATTCTTAATACACTTTTATACCACCAATTTATCATGTCTCTGGTTGTATAAAAGGTATGTTGACACCAAATTCACATCTTCATACATCTTGTATGTATTTTTAACTTTGTAAAAAAGTACCAGTGTTCCAAAGCATTTGTACCATTTGTCACTCTCACCCAGTGGCATGTGAGAGTTCCGGTAGCTGCACATCCTCACCAACACTGCATGTGGTCAGTCTTATTTAAGCTCTTCTAGTGAGCCGTGGTCTCTGCATAGGGCTTTAGACTAAGCTTCTCTCCTCTCTCACTGATGAGTGAGTGGAAGACGAGCTTCCTTGTAGATGAACCTTTGGGGTATGTGGGATCAGGTAGACAGTTCTCCATGCCCTGGACTCTGAGCTTGCCTCAGGGTGGGCAGAATCCATCACTTCTTCTAGCCTCACTATTCCTGTAGAAGTCAAAGGCTCTCAGAATCTTGCTCAAGAAGAATCCCTCCTTTCCTCTTGGACTGTTTTAACCAGTAGTAGAGAGATTCTTCCTAAGCTTAAAAACTTACACTTCATATTTGTATGGAGGCGCCTCTACTGTGGTATTTGAGAGAGAGAATTTCAAGGAACCAGAGGAACAAGGAGACCACAGGCCTCTGACCTAGCCATTGGGGTGCTGCTGCCTCTGTGTGAGATAAAGCAAGCAGCAGGAATCGCTCCTGGGAACCGACCTCCCATTCTTCTGCCAGTTCTGATGACTGAAATGTGGTGAGAGGAAATTCTCTCCATGTTCACATCTCAGTCTCGAGCATGGCAAGACTGGGCCACACCTCCCACCATGGCAATTTTGTGCTCTGTGATCTTCAGAGAAGTGGGATTCAGTCCCCCACTCAGATCAGCAGAGTTTGCAGTGGAGCACAACGGTGATGGGTCAACTCAGACTGGATGGCACCACCTTCTGTTGCTGCCACAAAGCATGTTGACAGCTCTCTGGCTTTGTGCTCATGCCGTTCGGTGGTGCAGAGTGTTGGTTTGAGAAGGTTATTGCACATGCTTTTAGGTTCTGGGTTGAGCTCTGGTGGACTTGGACCTGGCCAGCCACATGCTGCACCCCCTTGAGGAGTATTGATGGCAGAGTCACTAATCTTTGCTGTTTAGGGTTTCTGTTTACAAGTGCCTTAGGGCAGGGATGTGGCTCAGTAGAAGAGCACTTCCCTGGCAGGCACAAGGCCTTGGGTTCAATTCCCAGTACCGCAAAAAAGAAAAAAAAAAGTGCTACTTGAGTAAAAGAAAAAGGAGCATTAAAGGAGAAGCAGCTGGAGTCAACTGGAAATTGAAGACCATATAGCCAACTGGAAACACATTCTCACCTGGGAAAACAAGCAATCCTCAGACCTTACAGTTGTCCTCTATTCAGTAGGGCCTGCTTGTGTCAGGTGAGGGGCGACACAGTGGCTGCAGAGATGAGTAGGGTGTCTGCTCTCAAAGATTTCCTAGCTCTAGGAGGTGGGACATGAGTGACTTCAAATAAGTCCGGTGTGCGAAATATATGATGGTGTTAGAAATGGCTCAGCAGTAAGGGCAGACTCTTTTATTATTTTTTTCTCTCTCAATTTATGGGATCCATTTTCAGGATCTGGGTGAGGGCTACTATCTGACAATTCCCTGAGAACTGTGATTTATTCCTTATTTTTCTCCCTCCCAGTCTCCCATTCCTCCCATTCCTCTGCCCTTTGGACCCCTTCCAAAGCCTGGGCCGGCCGGGTTGTAAAAATTGCCAACTCGCCCATACATCCTGTTCGCCCTTCTGGAGTGCTTCCGATAAAAGACTGGGTGCCAAGAGGAGGCACAGCCTAAGGGGTCTCAAGGTCCTGGACGTAATTGCTCACCCTCTCTGTCATTCCTCATTATCATACTGACTGCGCTGTACTTCCTCTCACACTGAGAGGGAAATTGGGAAAGAGCCAGGAACCAACAGCTGCTTAAGGGACAGAACCAATTCTCCATGGACATCCCTTCCGCATGCCTGAGCAGGGGGCTTTGGCCACTCTTGAGGTTCCAGTCCCCAGGGTTACTTTGGCTGTTCCTTCTGCAGGGAAAGGGACCTCACAATACAGCTATACCCTTCGTGAGCTGGAGATTTGATCTGATGGTGTCATTTCCAAGTTCCTGGTTAGACAGCACAGGTATTCAGTGGCATGATGGCCCAAAGAGAACAAGATCTCGTCACCTCCTATCATTCTTCATGAACAATCCCAAGAAATCCTTTAAGTTAAACACATGTATGTGCATGAACAAATGAAGATAATAGTCCACTATTTAAAAAAATCTTTCAGAGAAATAGAATCCAGAACTTTCTTCCCAATAGATGGTTGAATCATTTGAGATCATTTAGATCTCTGAGGAAATGTAGAAGCCCATGTGTCTTTGGTTCTGAAATGCTTGATTAGCAGGTCTAGTGTGGAGGAAACATGGCCTGCCTGTTCCACTGCTATTCGATGTTCCATGAATATTTAGAAAAATCAGCCCTTTCATTCCAGTCCCCCCGGAACTGACATCCAGACCAAGGGCCAGGGGTCTGGAGGGCCAGGCTCCTGCAGACTCTCAGAAATTCCAGATTTGGAAGGATTAAGCTATCCACTGTGGAAATGCTTAATTCCTTTTCTCAGGACATTTTTGGAAGGCTTTCTGCTTTTTTAATCTCCTGACTTCTTGTTTGTGACCAAGTTCAAATTCCAGAGAGGGAAGCCGCCAGTATGTGTGATTATTTCCTCTTGCACCAAGTGGAACTAAAAGAATGAACTTACTTCACAAGAAATAAATGTACCCTTTGGACCTTAAACTGAAATGAGTTGCACAGTCAGTCTGGCCCCGGTGCTGCTGGTGCAGTAATTAAATACGAAAATGCAAAAAGATGTCAGGAGAATGCATTCACAATCTTTTTTTTAGACATAAAACAGAAAAATTGAAAAGAATCTTAAGAGACTTTCCCCTACCACACCCTCCCTTGTGCAGGGATGGCTTCCTGGTGAAGAGAAAAGGTTTTAGAGTTCGAATTAACTGGGGTGCACATCCTGGCCCCACAGTTCAAGAAGTATGCAGTCTTAGATTCTCCCTTAACTTCTCTGCACACCAGTTAAAATGGGGTCTAGAGAATCCCATTGAGTTGTTACAAGGATGGGCAGAGATAAAGACAGAAAGCTTTTAATGTGGGTCTGTGTGTGAAGATGCTCTTGCTACGACATCATTGTTGTTGTTATTATCTTATTAGAAAGCAGCGCCAGTAACAGAATCCCTAGGAATGCCAGAGTGAGATTGCTCAGTGTGCAGGGCCTGCTGTGCCCAAGACCTTTGCCTTGTGTTTCCTGGGGCAGCTGGAAGAGGGGCATAAGGGCATGAGGACTGTGGGGGCCATTGTTTCACTATTGCTGTGCTCCTCAGGTGACCTGTTCAGCGTCCTGGACTTCCCGTTCCTGTATTTCTACAGATTCCATGGCAGCTGCTGTGCCAGGTAATGTTGAACTTACTAATGTGTATGCTTTCTGTGCAATCAGCTATGACTTTGTGAAGTTCAGGGTCACTGCCAGTCATAGGAATAAGTGGCAGAAGCCAGTGGTGGTGGGTGCAGTGGGAAGCAGCCTGCTCATCCCCTGCAGGTTGTTCCTGGCACCCAAAGATACTCAGGGCTGACCATGTGCAACAAGGACCCCTGCCCTGCAGATGTCACTCAGCCAGGGTGGTGGTTTTCAAATGTGCTGAAGAGTGGGGCTTCCCCCACTCTTTTCCCTTCATAAGCAAATCTCATAGAGGACTTTAAAATATATATATATATATATACATATAATATAATAATGTATATAAATTTCAAAGTATGTAAATATATATTTTTCTTTTTGAAAAATGTGGTGGTGCCCACCTATAATCCCAGCAACAAGGGAGGCTGAGGCAGGAGGATCCCAAGTTCAAGGCCAACCTGGGAAAGTTAGACCCTGTGTCAAAATAATAAATAGAAAGGGCTGGGAATGTAGCTTAGGTGTTGGAGCACCACTGGGTTCAATCCCCAGCACCAAAAAAAAAAAAAGTTTGCAATTTTTATCTTACATATCAATATATATAATATATATATTTTAATATATTTTGTGGTTTTGGGAATCAGATCCAGGGGCAATCTACCACTGAGGTACATCCCTAGTCCTTTTTAAAAATTATTTTTTATCTTTAGTTATTTATTTATTTTTCAGTTTTTTGGTTACTCAGATTTGAACTCAGGGGCACTTGACCACCGAGCCACATCTCCAGCCCTATTTTGTATTTTATTTAGAGACAGGATCTCACTGAGTTGCTTAGCACCTCCCTGTTGCTGAGGCTGGCTTTGAACTAGCCATCCTCCTGCCTCAGCCTCCCACACCACTGGGATAACAGGTGTGTGCCACTGCTCCCGGCTTATTTTTTATCTTTAGATAGGATCTTACTAAGTTGCCCAGGCACTCCTCAAATTTGCAATATTTCTGTCTCGGCTTCCTGAGTCACTGGGATTATGAGTGTGCTCCCAGCCAGAACTTTAATATATTAAACTGATATAGCTGATTCAGTTCAAGGGAAAATTTGGTTCCAGAAGCCCACCCACTCAGCTTCCACTTGGACCTCCCTTTTACTCCCAAAAGGCAGACCCTAGAAACCGCCATTGAATCCTGAAACTTTTAGAAACAAATTGTAGAAATCAGTGACTAGATGTCTAGACAACAAGGTGATCATTAGTATTTGACCTTGGCAAGGAGTTGGGGATATAGTCGAATCAGATGGATTTATCCAGACACACAGAAGTTCATTCCCACCTTTTCTGGCGGCAGTCCTGAGAAGGGGAAAACTTCTGTGGGAGGTCTCAAAGCTTGATTTCTGGTACAGTGGGAAGAGTGGACTTGGGCTGAGCCCCAGAACTACTACTTATTAACTTTGGGCAGTTTACACCAATTCTTCTAAGTCTTAGTTTTCTCATCTGTAAAAAGGGAAAAATAATACCAATATAGGGCTTTTCATATATATCAGATCAAATTATAATATATAAAGTCCTAAGCCTGGTCCAATAAATGGTGGCCATTATTATTAACTGTTCAAGTCACCTACAAGTAAGATGTTAACAAACTATGAACAATTGCTATGTAAAAGCCAGACCATCCATTCCTACACATAAAATGGTACCTTGTGAAGCAGTGAGTCTTTTCATAGAGGTAAAAAATGGTTATGTGGATAGATACTATTTTTTTTATTTGTAGATGGACACAATACATTTATTTATTTATTTATTTATTTATTTATTTATTTATTTATTTATTTATTTATTTATTTATTTGTGGTGCTGAGGATGGAACCCAGTGCCTCACATGTGCAAGGCAAGCACTCTACCACTGAGCCACAGGCCCAACCCCAATACTATTTCTGATGGGTTTTTTCCCTGCTCCTCAAGCATATTAGGGTAAAGGAAAAGAAAGAATCAATGTTATAATTTGTCTCTACATTTGATTTTATCACCCTCAGAAAAGTTCCAGGGAGCTCTGTCACAGAATGCATCTTGCCAGTTCCTGTCAATTTGATTTGGCCTGTTCACTTGTCCGTTAGCTGGGATTCCTGTGTCATAGAGCAGCCGGGGCCTGTGGATTGGCTTCTCTTTGAATGTGACTATTTGGCAGCCTGGGCAAGCGGCAGGGAAGGGGAGGTCCACAGTTGTTTGTTATTTGGAACAGAGCAGTATGTTCCCAGTGCATTGGTGTGTCTTTGTGGAATCACATTCTTGCTTTACTTCTGCTCCGCTAGTCTGCAGCTTTCTCATAACCCAACATGATACTTCAGGTGTTTTAAAAGATTTGGAAATCTTTGAGTGGATTTAACGGTTACATTTTGCCTCCTAGCTTGGCATCTTTTTTTTTTTTTTTTTTTAGTTTTTATATTTTAGTTGTTGATAGAACTTTATTTATATGCAGTACTGAGAATCGAACCCAGTACCTCACACCTGCCAGTCAAGTGCACTATCGCTGAGCCCCAGCCCCAGCCCCCTTGGTGACTTTTTAAAGAATGGGTCCAGTTTCCCCATGTCATTTCAGTGGCTTCTCCTTGTCCATATCTCAGACCGAGAGTTTCACCTTCAGGAGGTCCTGCCTGGGGTGAGGGTAGAAGTCACCAAGAGGAGCCACGGAGCACAGGCTACCTCGCTGTCCACTTCCATCCTCATGATCTTGGGCACCTGGAAGCTCTCACTCTGTCTGGCTGGTCAAGAACACATCTCCTTGGTGAGGTTTGAAGAGCCATGGAGACCTGGATTCTAATTGTACTTGTGCCTCAATTTCCTTGTTAATAAAGTGAGACTTTGGAGAAAGTAACCTTTCTGATCTAAAGTCTCTGGTCCATAAGATTGAATGAGGACTGCTATGCTTATTCCTTATGCCTCAACAGAACCCAGGCAAGAAAAAGGGGGATTTGGTCAAGGTCATGAGGGTCAATGAATACAGCTAAGAATAGAAGTCCAGGCTGCTTGATCTAATTGGGTAAGTCTTACCCACAGTGGCCTCCTTGCCTTTTGGGTGTGAGGCTTGATAACTTAATCCACAGCTGTCCAGTCTCCCATAACTGCCGATGCAAATCTGAATAGACTTTGCAGGTGATCAGGGCCAAAGCCACAGAAATACACAGGGGAAACCTGATGCCTGTCCCTGGTGCTGCCCCAAGAATGTGGCTATGAAACTAGTCTAATCTAATGAAGTGAAAGTACACAATTCTGTGAAATTTGGTTCTAGGTGTATTTGGTTCAGTTCAGCCTGCTTCCAGACACCTGATTGGTGTGAGGGTTGAAGCCACACACCAGCGCCTATAATAAAAGTCAGAGGGAAATATGGCACTCCAGACTCCGGAGGAACAAATGAAATATAGCTCTCTAGCTTGGGGTACAACTAAAATCATATCATTTATTTATGAATTTTCAATTTAAAATAAAAGCCACACTCAAGCTACCACTTGAACACATATGCAAGAAGTCAGTCTCTGTTTCTTGCAGTCTCTCTGCCTCATCTCTTCCCCAGTTGTCCTACCTCCAATTGCGAGGAGGAGTTGAGAGCTTTGGTCCTGACCACACAGTGACACTTTGGAATATGGTTCCAGCATAGGACCTGCTGCACGGGTCCTGCGGTGACGGTACCCTTGCTGGTCCAGACCTCTGAATGCTGCTCCACCATCAGGCTCCTGTGGGTGAGGCTCTCTCAGTTCACACACAGGTGTTTGGGCATCATTCCAAAGCATAGCTTCTATGAAGATCTGTCTGGCTTTGGGCTTCTGGCTTTGCCACATGTGTTGTTGGAACCAGCCTTCAGATTCTTACCTTGAGCCCAGGGCCCAGTCCAGACCCTTGCTAACACCTAGAGAGTTTCCCTTTGACGGTTTGTTTTCTTGAAAGAAATTGAGGTTCTATCTTGGCAAGTACTGTGTTCCAGAAATAATAACGGGGAGGAGCAGTGGTATTGTTTGCTATGTTTTTTTTCTTTTATGATTTAGCCAGAGACCTCCCAAATTTCTGTACCTCTCCCTACCTCTGATGACATGTTCTCATCATAGCCTCTTTGAAAAATAGAGCTTCATGGACTTCGATTTTTTTCTATTTTTGTTCAAAAATCACTAGGAAACACAGATGTGACAGAGGTCATGCAATAATTAGGAACTGGCCACTAAAATGGAGTCAGCTAATGGCTCAAGGAAGACAGTATCACTAACAAAAGAATATTTTTCTCCTTCCAGTGGATTTTTAGGTTTCTTTCTCATGTTCACTACAGTGAAACTAAAGAGCCTTCTGGCCCCAGGACAGTGTGCAGCCTGGATTTTCTTTGCTCAGGTAAGAGGGAAGGGGGAGGGGTGGGAAAGTCTGTCCCAAGAGGCTATGTAGCCAGTCTTCTCAGAGTCTGGGGAATGTAAGTTAGATCTTCAGGAAAGCATTGCTAGTCACCTTCCCTGAGCCTGGTACTTATTCAGATAACAGTTTTTGAGGCCTTTTGCCTATTTTATCAGCATGACATATTAAATTTTTATCACACTTGTGGAAGGTGACCATGCGTAGGCCCTTCATTTCCCAGAGCTTTAATTTGCCCATGGGAAAATAAGAGGTTTCATCAACACTAAAACTCTAGTGTTTTGTCCAACATCTAAGAAACTGGGGTCCAGAGATATGGGGCAGTTCGTTTTCCTTCCCAAGCCTGTGAGGGGGTCCAGAGCTCAAGTGACTTACCTAAGAGCCCCCACCCTGTCTTGGAGACAGAAGAAGGAAAATCAACAAATGGCCGGGTCTGAAGGCTTCAATGAAGCCTTCCAAAAAGAGACTGTTAGGAGAAGGGTCTTTGTGTATCTGATTGACCACGGCTGAAGCGTAAGAGAAAGAAGTGAGTAAATTGTGAAGGAACAAGAGCAGAAAACCAGTTGTGGGAGGCACCGTCTTAACCGGAGTGCTTTGAGACTAATGTCTTTCCACAGGCCTATTTCATTTCCCTCATGTATATGGAGGAGTCAAGGTCAGGGCCTTAGGTGCTACTTCTGAGGAGTGAGATTTTCTAATTAATCTAATCTAATGAAATAATAATTGAAACTTGTGCCTTTGGTCATCTTTATTTGAGGGAAAAGGTTTTTAAATTTTTCACAGGGGGGAAAAGCAAATTTTTTATTTAAAAAAAAAATATATATATATATAATCAATGGACCTTTATTTTATTTATTTATATGCAGTACTGAGAATCGAACCCAATGTCTCACACATGCCTGGCAAGCACTCTACCACTGAGCCACAACCCCAACCCCACATTTTTCTTTGAAAATTAAATTTTATAGTGATATTTCCACCTACTTGGTCTACATTTTGATAGCTTTCATGATTTCAATTCTGAAGAATGTAAAGAATGCTTGAGATATTGTTTTCCAGCATCAGAGAGTGAGGAGGTTGACAAAACTTCTTCCCCCAAAGTAAATGGGAAGATGGAAGAAATGTTGTCAAAAACATCCATTTTCATGCTCTAGAACTAAAGTCAGTTAGTAGTAACAGACTCAGAAGCATTTGTTCTTGGAAATTACTAAGCTTGGGGTAGGAACAGAATTGATTTATGGTGTTCTTGACCATCTTGATCCCATTCCCCTCCTCCCCTCCAGCACTGTTAGGGTGATGGTTCAACCAGGTAGGGTAAACTGAAAACTAACAGGCTTGCTGCTGCTTCCAGAAGGGGCTCACTCTTTTTGGAGGATTGTCAGTTCAAGTGGCCAACTCAGTGGTAAATAAGCAGAAGAGGCCAATATTTCCACTGGATTGAGTTTATAGTCCTCTTTGGAGCAAGGTCTTTCTGGTGACTTAATAAGTAGTTCTAGGAGGTGAGAGAGCTATCAGGGGCTTCATGGCTTTCCGTATAACCCAGATTGAACTTAGTCTGAGTGCATGATCAGGAAAGATGGAGCAGGTGCAAGATACCCAAGTATCTCTGGCCAGTGGAGCCCATGAGCACTCACACAGGTGGACATGAAAGCAGTCTGAGGTTTGCACATGCTCCCCAGCCCACACACAGAATCAGAAGCAGAGGGAAGCTTTCTAGCTCAAAACAGAACACTAAGCTATGCACATAGGGGATAACCCTTAGAAATCAGACTTAGAAATAAAAACAAGAAAACTAAATTTTGTAGAGGCATCAGCAACTCTACCTTATGTGGGAGACAAATATCACAGACTTAGGAAAATTATTAAATAAGAAAAACAATAGCAACAACTCCCCTGGGGGAAAAATCAGAATTCAGAGTACTAATTAAATTGCCCAGAATTCACAAAACATCTAGACATTATGTGGGAAAAGAGCAGCCTATAGGAATTAGCTCTGAGCCTCTGTCCTCTGATGGAGGATTTAGCTGAAAAACACTGTAAAACACCTATTTAAATATGTTCAGAAATTGAGAGGCAGCCATGTTTAAAGAGTCAAAGGAAACACTCAATGAACACAGAATTTCAATAAATCTTTTTTAAAAAAAGATCCAGATGGAAATTCTGGATTTGAAAAGTATAACTGAAATAAAAATTCTCTATATGGACTCAAAACCAGATTTGAGATGGCAAAAGAAAGAATAAGTGAACTGGAAGGTGGAACAAAATAAATTATTCGACCTAAAGAACAAAGATTTTTTTAATTGGAAAAAAAAGTGAACAGAGCCTCAGAGACCTGTGAGATATCAAGTGTATCAACATATATGTAGTAACAATCCCAGAAGAAGAGGAGATGGAATAGATGAAACATTTAAAGAAATAATTGCTGAAATACCCCATCTGATGAAAATGTTAATTTACCTATCTAAAAAGCTCATTATAAGAACAATCAAAAAGAGAAACTTACCTAGACAAATTGTAATCAAGCTGCTAAAAGATGAAGTAATCCTAACAGCAGCAAGAGAAAATGATTTAACATTTAAGAAAACAATACAATTAATAACTGACTTCTCATCAGAAACAATGGAGGACATTTGTGTTTTTTCTTTTGAGAAGTATCTATTTAGATCTTTTGTCCTTTTATTGATTGGGTTATTAATTATTTTGGTATTAAGTTTTTTTGTTCTTTATATATAATGGATATTGATCCCCTGTTGGAAGAGTAGACGGCAAAGATATTTTCCTATTCTGGAGGTGCTCTGTTCATATCCTTATTTCCTTAGCTATAAAGAAGCTTTCTAATTTGATGTCACCTACTTATTGATTAAAATGGGAGGATCTTATGAAAATAGAAGGAGACTAATAGAATGGAGGAAGGAGATTGAGAGGGAGGGAGGGAGAAGGGAAAGACATAGGGAAGTACTATGGAATTAAATCTACCAGACTATGCTGTACCTCTATACTAATATAATAAACCCTATGTGTGTGTATAAAATTATGATACACTAATTTAATTAGTAATAAAAATAACAGCAAGGAGATGAGTAGAGCAAGTGGATTTGTGGAGAAGGGGAGGGAAAGAGATGGTACTGGGGAATGATATTGATCAAATTATGTGTATGTAGGAATATGGCATAATGAATCCCACTATGATGTATAATTACAATGCAACAGTAAAAATAGGAAGCCAGAAGAAAGTAGGATGACACATTCAGCATGCTACAAGAAAAGCCTATCAACTTTGATCAGAAAAACTGAGCTTCAAATATGAAAGAGAAATAAAGACTTTCAAATAAAGACAAATTTATTGCTAGCAGCCATCAATAATTACATTAAATGTGAATGGACTAAATATCCCACTCAAAAAAACCCAGATTGGATTAAAAACTATATTCTATCTACAAGAAACATACCTTAGATTCAGAGACACAAATAAACTGAAAGTGAGGATGTGGAGAAACTAGAACCCTCATAAATTGTTGGTTGATATGTATGCAACCACTTTGGAAAAGTTTGGTATTTTAAAAAAATGTCAAACTTAAATGGAATTACAATGCATCAATTCTAGTCTTAAGAATTCAATTAAAAGAAATGAAAATATTTGTCTACCAGAAGCCTAATTTGATGCCACCCACTTATTGATTAAAATGGGAGGATCTTATGAAAATAGAAGGAGACTAATAGAAGGAGACTAATAGACTAATAGAATAACTAATGTTATAAACACATCGGTGTTTATAACAGCGTTATTCATAACAGCTTGAAACTAGAAACAATCTAAATGTAACTTTGTTGGCTAATGGTTAAATAAGATGCTCGTGCACGCGCGCGCGCGCACACACACACACACACACACACACAAACACACACACAAATATTTCAACAATAAGAAATTAGCTACTAATACATTGGTATGACATGGATGAGTCTCAGAAACATTAAGTGAAAGAAACCAGTCACAAAAGAATGCATATAGTATTATGCCATTTTATGTGAAATGTTCAGAAAAGTCAAACCTATAGAGACAGGATGTATCCGCATGGTTTTTTGGAGCAGAAATTGATTGCAAAATATGCTTGAAGGAGTTGATTTGGGTAATGGAAATGTTCTATGACTGGATTGTAATGATGATTGCACAATCATTTAAATTAATTTATTAAATTTGCTCATTAAAAATCATTGCATTTTACAATTACAGCAAGTGAATTTTATGACATATAAATAATCCCTGGAAATTGTAAAGTAGCAGCACACAAGCATTCTGCTTATATCTTTTTTTTTTTAATTTTTTTTTATTGGTTGTTCACAACATTACAAAGCTCTTGACATATCATACTTCGAACAATAGTTTCAAGTGAGTTATGAACTCCCA